AACCCTGTCCGTTCTGTGATTCCTTGATTCTGGGACAACGGCTCGGATAACAGAAGCAAAAGGAAGCGGAGAGGATCGACGGCTGGGGGAAAAGGAATAACGGAGCTGGGGAGCACGAGCTGTAAAAGAAAAGTGACGGTGGATGGGATGAGGAGGAAGCTTGGCGAGGCAGAAGGATGGCTCGGCGCGAGGCCGAAGCATCTGGGCTATGTTCGGGGATGCCTGCCATTCCTCAGCCCGTGCCCACACGTCCGTCGTGGGCCTGTCCACCCACCAGGAAGGGGGAAATTAAAACCAGCCCTTCCGACAAGAGCGAAAAGGAACAGAAATGAAGACGACAGTACAAAAAAGCAGCGAGGTGGGGATTAGGCTGCGAGCCCCGCGCGGCGGGAGGGGGCCAGGCAGCCATGTGGCTAGCTTTGTGCACGAAATCCTCATTAGGGGCTCGTTAAGGACATGAAAGCGGCTTTTCCTGCTTCCGGTCCCCGGTCCCTGGCACCCCTGGGGCTGCTCGCGGCCGGTTATCTGCTTCGGCGGCCGGGGAGGAAATGCAGCTCGAGGGCTCAAGTTGATGGCAGGGTTATGGGAAGACGACGGCGATGACCCCCCCTGCTCCCTGAATGCTATCGCCGGCAGATATTTGCTGACATACAGCTCTGATTGGATTTACACCTCCATCTGCTGTGAACAACTCCTGGATCGCACCTCTGGGACCTCCTGCTGACACCCAGCCCCGGCTGATGGCACCCAGGACCCTTTGCAATCCCCCCTGTGCTGCAGCAGCCCCTCGGCTTCGGCTGCAGGAGCAGGCTCCGAGCCGAGGGGGTGGTACCGTGCCAGGGTGACCACGCCGTCCCTGTGCTCTCGGAGGTCTGGGCTGCTCGAGTTGGTTGACTCGAGACCCTGCAGCAACGAAAATCGGCTCCAAACGTGAAAGGCATTAAAGCCCGTGAACCTCCAAACCACCTGGCTTGTTTAAGGTGCTCCCTTCCTCAAACACGGACACACGATACGCAATGCTAAGGCGACGGTGCACAGTCTATCCCCGATCCAGCCAACAGACCTCACCCAAGCCAGAGTGAAGAACTGGAAAAGTGAAGTAAAAAGCAGCTGGTTTTCTCCCCCCCTTGCCCTAAATCTGCTGATCTGGTGTGAATTTGTGCAGGCATCTCCCAAAGAGGAGAGCAGATCCCTCCCGACCTTTCCCGGCCCCTCCAGCTCCCTGCCCAACCCACACGCTGAAATATGCAATATTCTCATTAGAGCTTTGCTCCTGCCCTGCAGTTAAATGAGCGATTCCCAGCCAAGGGCTTCTTGGGGCTCAAAAATCAAAACTCTGAATAACCCTACGTCCCCAGAAGCAGAATGATTTACACAATACGAGCCTCCACCCCCCCAACCCCCCTAAATCCACTACCGCTTTCTTCTACATGGTTTTAGCAAATTCTCCAATATTTGTCTCAAACCTACTATCCCTGGACAACTGAATGGAGATTTTACCGCACATGTGCCTCTGATTACAATATATTACCACTAATGATAATTGCCTGGATTATACTTATCTGTTTCTTTGGCTAATAAACTATGAAAAGACCACCAGTGAAGATGTAATAAAGTGCAGCTGGTGCAGCAAAAGCCTTTTTCTAGGTCAAAGCAAGTTTGGGAGAGGCTGGGGAGGACTGCCTCTGCGAGGGGAAGCAATACCTAACTGGAAATAAGAAGAGCTCCTCAAGGCAGCTTTCATTAATCTGAAACTTTTATCCTAGAAATGTTGCTGGGGTTTATCTGCCAGCAGGACAAGGGGAGGTGCAAGCTCTGCATTTCTCTCCTGCATCTCATTAGCCTCAAAAGGGACCCTTGGGCTCTGTAGAAATGTTCCTGGCTGCACGACTCGGCCATGCACGTACCTATGCTCGCAGAGAGTCAGAAAGAGGGAAGGAAAGGAACATTTTTTTGCTCAGTGTAGAGATGCAGCCTCTCCGAGCATGAAACATAAGCTGTTTAAGAGCACGCAGCAACCATTTGCAGGTGCCAAAGGGCAGGATGGGGAAAAAAAAAGAATACTGTATTCAAGTCCAATGGAAATTTAGGAAGTTCGAGAGAATTGCCAAGACTGGAAAGCAGCCAGGAGGCTGAAGCGAACACCCTCATGTTTAACCAAGGACTGGATGGACGATAACCGGGGAGTCGAGCGTTACACCTCGCGAGATGCGCTCCCGGGCACCGCGCCGGCACCGAGGCAGAACAAGCCGACTGCCCCCGCGGCCTGCCAAACTCCACTAAGGCCCCAATGTTTCCCTACGGCAGGAATAATAACACATGATCTCGCATAGCTGCCTCAAACCCAAAGCGACAGGAAAGGGGGTTTCCCCTTCTGTGCCCTCTGTGCCACGGCAGCATCTCGACCGGCGGCCGAACCCTGCACGACCGCAGAATGAGGCGCTGGTGATGTGGAAGTGGCTTTATTGTCTTTAATTAACGGCCCCCTACACCGCCCAGGGTTTAAAAGACATGGCAAGGTTTGCAGGGAAAGGCATGATCTTTCATTTCACCAACTAACACAAGTTCGGGGAGGGGAAAAAAAAAAAAAACCAAACCACCAAACGGTGAAGATTTCAGAGATACAAGCCCTTCTTCCAATTTTAACAGAATGCTGGAAGAAAAAGTTAATGTATCTTTCATGAGGACAATCTAGATAATAAGCAACACAATTCCACAGCACAAGCCTGGGATTTTTTTTCTTTCTTCCTTTCTTTCTTCGTTTTTTGTCTAAATAATGAAGAATTTCTGGTCGTGGATAGACAACCAAGGTAAAACTCGAGTTGCCAAACATCCCTTGGCTAGAAACACGCTGCAACCTCCTGCGCCGAGCGCTATATGAGATTTTACTTTCAGATTTGGGCAGAAACAACAACTTAAAAAAAACCCAACAAAACACCACCAAAAAACCCCAAACCAACCACCCTGTGTCAAACCTAAATCAGAATTGTTATTCAGCAATTTGCAACACTTACTGTCATATTAAAGTAATTTTATTTTATTTTCGCTCGCTTGCTCTCTTCTTGTAACAAACCAGCAAATCTCAGGATTTCAGAAGACATTTGGCAGAGCAACCAAAGCACTCCTGAAATGTTTAGGGGGTACAGCCTGTGACACTGGTAATGGCTGCTAACGCCAGTGGAAATTGTGCAGACAGAGGGGAATTGTACCAGATGAGACCTAGGTGACAAAATTGCGGCGGTGCCGAGGCATGACTGAGTACTGACGCACCGTACGGCACCGGTTAGCAAGGAATGAGGGAAAACATGGAAACCTGCTACCAGAACAAGGCTGTCAACAGCTCCATCTCTCTCTCTCTCTCTCTCTGATAAGGATTTATTTCCAAGCCGTGCAATGTGCGGACACCACGGTTTGGAGCGAGGTCCGGCTCCGGCACGCTCCCTGCCACCTCTCCTCCTGGTGACGGGGCAGCTCTCGGCATGACTCTACAGTGGGCTCCCCTCTACCTGCACCCACGCTGGCCCCTCAGGCCACGGGCAGTCTGAAGCTTTTCCTGCAGAGGTTTGCAAGACTTTCTCCAGGGTCTGAGACATCCCGGCCTGCATCAGTTACGGGACGGGGGACGCTGGTGTTTTGCTGTCTGTACTTCCTACCTGCTCACTGTCTAGCTACGACAGGACATCTGTTAACATCTCTGTACCATCTCTTTCTTTCCTGCATGGATATATTATTTACAAACAGGGAAGAACTTTGATCAAAAGCAAATTAAAAATATTCCTGCGCTTCTCCTTTTTTATTTAGAAAACTTCCAAAGGAAGGAAACTGTTGTTCAAACAACCAAGCCCTCACCACCCTGGGCTGGGTGGCACTGCCTGTGCCTGCTGCCCCACAGGGGAGCTCCCCAGTCAATTTTTCTCCTTTGCATGGAGCAAAGTGTTGGTAATAACCAATATATAAAGGGAGAGAAGCTGGATGCTTGAATGCATTCAGTATTACTTCTCTCAGGTGGTCTTTAATGTACAGATGAAGACATCTGGCAGGCTAAGACACAAGAGGTCTTCACCCGTGCCACAGAATAAGAGTATGGGCTCAGCTAAACCATCCCACCCCTCCATGCCCCAGCTGTAAAGCAAGGAGGATGCCACCCTGTCACAGGGACGTGAACGATTACCTCTTTAGGAAGGGCTGATTTCTAACCTGACACCACCTCTTTGGATGATACACATCCCTGAAGTACACGGTTATGACAAACACTCGATATGGCTCATAAGACAACGTCGGTACTTACTTTTTCAAAGGCTCTATGACTGTCTTTTGGATCTGATTCACCTGTTGAAAGCAAAAGGGATGATTATATGTCAGGCTTGTTGAAGAAGCCTGTTTGCACAACGATACATGTTTGCACAGCACCTACCATAGGATGGTGTGGGCTTCTGAGCACAACCACAATGCCCTTTAACCAAAAAATAGCAAACTTTTCCCGTGTGCTCGGGATGAGCTGCAATCCCCAGTGCAACCAGAGTCAGAAGAAGAGTGAGATTATGGAATCATAGAATGTTTTGGGTTGGAAGGGACCCCGAAACCTCATGTGGGAAGCACCTTGGAGACGACGGCAAAAAGGGAAGGAGGAGACACCAACAGCACCTTGGCACGCCCTGGTCTCCCCTTCTTCAGCCAAACCCATATTCACCTTCTCCTGGTTGAAAGAGTCCATCCTCTTCATTGCCGTGTCGAAGGCCGTGACCATCTCCAGAAAGCTGGGCTCCTGTTCACACAGGGGGTTAGAGAGCAGGTCCGAAGAGATTTTGACAGCCGACTTGGACATGGCTGCGGGCAAGAGGAGCGTGCAAAGGAAAGCAGAGAGGGTCAGGTCTCGGTGGCTGCCTGGTGGGACAGCCACACCACCCTGCATCGCCAACGCTGGCTCCCGCATCTGCCAAGGGTGACCATGGGCGAAAATCGGGGACTTCAGCCATCGAGGAGGGTTTAGCAGAACTTTCCACCAAGACATTCAACATCAGTTGAGAGAAAAGAAAGGAAAAGCCACCAATTCATTCACGTAAACACCCAGAGAACTGGTTTTATATAAGTTAAGTCAGAACCACTCCGATGTATGGCTTGCAATGTTGCCAGAAATAAAACCAGACTAACAAAAGCACTGTTCTCTTAAAAAAAAAAAAAATGTAGATGGGTTTTTTTATACGTCTTTTCTTGACAGACTATTAAGTGTCACTCTCAGTCTCACTACAGCTCTTCCACAATGAGAAAAATCACAGTCCATTAAGTCTTTCAAATGGCTTTACAGAAATATATATATTTGAAGTGGATTTAGTGCTGGTGGAAAAGGACCAGACTGACAGGACTGGAAGATGAGGTTTCTCTTTTACTCTCAAAATAGGCACTACACAAGCGGCAGAGACACAAGCTGGCTAAGCACTTTCCTTCAATGAGCCTAAATTTTCTGCCCGTGGAGACCAACCCCACCAGACTGTCACCAAGAAATACAGAAACACCAGGTCACACGCTGATGGGCTTCAGTTCCTGTCTCGCCGAGCACTTTTGCTTGTTTTCCATCAGACACATCTCTCTCCCCATCCACACACTTGGTCTTCAAAGGGAAAATTAAATCCCTATGACAGGACCACTACAAAAGAGCAAGAAAATAGCTAAGGTACAGAATGAGGGGGGAAAAAAAAAAAAAGATTAATAAAAAGGCAAGCGTCAATATAAATGGGGATAAAGAAGAAGAAAAAAGTCACGGGTGCTAAAAAAAAAAAAAAATGTTCTTTTTCGTCAGCACTCTTGCTGGAAGTTATTCCAGTTTAAGATCAGAAAGCCAGATGCTTGAGCCGTGCTACAGATGAGCTTTGGAAAGACTCCGACAGTACTCAGATATTAAAAGTTAAAGTCATCTGAATAATGGGGCTTAAGATCATAAATCAAGGGGTTAAACATTCTGATTTAAAGGTTACACACAATTATACAGAGAGCTCAGAAGCTAAATAGCTGGGAAGCTCAATGCAGAACGAGATGCTAACTACAGAATAACAAAGCTACCGTATCCGTCTATTATCCAAACATTAAGGGTTTAGGCATTTAAACCTTTAAACAGATGGGATATAATCCATATGTGTGACCACATCTGAGGAGGGATTTGTGCCAAAATGGGACGGAGTTAAGAATGGCAGAACTCCTTCAGCTGGAAGAAGAATTAGTTTCCCTTCAGAAGGCGAGGGCTGAAAGCGTACTGCAGCGAGGGGAGCTGCGGCGAGCAGCGGGGTCACGCTGGCAGGCCAGAAACCGGGGCTTTTCGGTGAGACTTTGGGCCAGGCACTTCCCCTGCGTCATTGATCTCACCTGTATGGCTCTGAAAAAGCAGCCGTGGTGGGCTCTGCAGTTCCCAAGGCAGCTTTGCAGACCCCGGCACACGCTGCATCCCCACCACAGAGAGCCAGGACCCCAGGAGGGCCCCCCCGGTCCCACCTCCACATGCCCAGTGGCGAGCCCCATCTTGAAACCCAACAGGCACAAAGCTGACGTGGGAGAGGAGAGGAGGGCACCGCCTGCCCCTCGGGGTGGGCTTCAGCAGGGTCTGTACCGCACTTTGCTAATAAACCACGCGGGACACGACGGCAATTAAAGGGAATGACTTTAGAGAGGCACTGATTTTTTGAATCGCAATAAAACCAGCGGGGAACAGCCAGGCCCGCTCCAGAGAGCAAAACCGAGCCACGGTGATCCAGTGGGTCACCTGCACCTCGTTTCAAACGGAGAGCTTTTGTCTCCAATTAAAGAACACCCTCCTGCTCCTTCAGATGATATTTTGTTTGGGAAGAGGGTGGGGAAGGGGGTTGGTGATCGTTAGCCGCAGTACAGAGAGTGCTGCTAATAACCCGTACCCTGTTCCCAGCCATGCCGCTGCAGCTGGCAGGGCAGCAGCCGAGCCTCGCAGGAACATTTTCATGCAGACGGAGGAATCGGTCTCATTCTCAGCTGAGCCTTTTTTGGCAGAAGGTGGAGACTCGAGCCACCAGGTCCAGTTCGCTAGGGAGTTTGGCAGGCAGTGAATAATCAGCCCCCTCGGCACAGAGGTACAGTGGAAGAAATAAGACACTCAGGAGGACACAACAACACTGATACACTGCCATCCTCGTCGGATACGGGGGCTGGATGTTGGTTGAGCAAGCACAGCTCTCTCCTCTTGGGAACGGGCACTGCCAGGTGAGGAAAGCAGTCCTCAGTGCTCGATCAGATCTACCTCCTTTTCCTTCAGCCACCCCTCACCAGACCACATTCAAAACCTTCCCTTACACTCATGATTTCATGCCTTTAAATGAGAAATCAGATCTTACTGGATTTGGCCAAGGCTCATTTGTGACTCTGCCATGTAGCAGAACGGAAAAAGAAAGTCCTCCCACAGCTCCTCTGGGACTTGAAATGCTCCATATAAACAACGCCCACTGCAAGGGAGGGGAGGGGAATCCTTAACAAGGAAAAACTTACCAAGGATCCCTGACAATGACCAAAGTCCCCAGAAAGGGCAGTTTTCACCCTGGAAAGGAGTCCTAGCAGTGCTGGTTACTGGTGCCTTTCCCACCGCTCCCTCTGTGCAAGCAGAGGCACGTGCCAGCACGGTTCTGGGAAGGGTGGGAGAGCACAGGCAAGAGCCGGGATCCGCGTTTACGTCTGGCAATATCCGAGCATGCACACAGACGTACACACAGGTGAGAGCCTGTATCATAGGAAGCCCCAAATTTGCCAGCCCTCCCGCTGGCGAAGCGCCCGGTGGGGCTCCTTCCCACTCCCCTGCCCCTCTGCGAACCCAACTCCCACGAGATGAGTGTTGGACCAGTCCATCCCACACCTGTTTGCGCTGGTGCATCTGCCTTGGCTCCGGAGCTGTGGGGGCCCGGTACAAATAGGGACTACTCCAAACCACATGCTGAGAAAAACCATCTGTGTTTAAAACAGCTCCTTTGCTGCATGTTTCTGCAGGCTGCCCTGCTCGGTTCAATAACTGGCACCCACCGAATCCACTTCTCCTAGCTCCCCTCCGACAGATCGCTCCATCTTCTCTCTCCCGTGTTCGTTTAAAGCCTGCGCCACGTGGCGCGGTCACACCGGTTTCCTACTAGAGAAGCTATGAATGGAGCCGGGCAGGGGCTGCCGTGCCTGGGG